TTAAAATTCACATGAAAAAGAAGGCATTAATTTAGTATTGCATCTGACCAAGGAAAAGTAAAATGTTGTTTGGAGATGCAGAGAGAGGAAGTAGCACTAGGTGGCGACTAAGGCTAACTTTAGCTGCATTGGAACATATGTGCTTCTTTATCCTGAGAGGCATGCACCTTCTCCTTCTTCTCATCCTCTAACTCAGTGGTTCTCAACCCTCCTAATGCCGCGACCCCTTAATACAGTTCCTCATGTTGTGGTGACCCCCAACCATAACCCTAACATTACGAATCGCCATGTAAATAATGATCTTCAGGATGTATTTTCATTCACTGGAGCAAATTTGGCCTAATATCCGGTATGCCCAAATTTGAATACTAGTGGGGTTGGCGGGGGGATTGATTTTGTCATTTGGGAGTTGTAGTTGCTGGGATTTATAGTTAACATGTAAACAAAGAGCATTCTGAACCCCACCAACAATGGAATTGAACCAAAGTTGGCACACAGAACTCCCATGACCAACAGAAAATACTGGAAGGGTTTGGTGGGCATTGACCCACCAAACTCTTTGGGAGTTGTAGTTCGGAGTTGTAGTTCGCTTACATCCAGAGAGCACTGTGGGCTCAAACAATGATGGATCTGGATCAAACTTGGCACAGATAGGGGTTTGGGGAAAATAGACTTAGAATCATAGAATAAAAGAGTTGGAAGAGACCTCATGGGCCATCCAGTCCAACCCCCTGCCAAGAAGCAGGAATATTGCATTCAAATCACCCCTGACAGATGGCCATCCAGCCTCTGTTTAAAAGCTTCCAAAGAAGGAGCCTCCACCACACTCCGGGGCAGAGAGCTCCACTGCTGAACGGCTCTCACAGTCAGGAAGTTCTTCCTCATGTTCAGATGGAATCTCCTCTCTTGTAGTTTGAAGCCATTGTTCCGCGTCCTAGTCTCCAGGGAAGCAGAAAACAAGCTTGCTCCCTCCTCCCTGTGGCTTCCTCTCACATATTTATACATGGCTATCATATCCCCTCTCAGCCTTCTCTGTATCCTTCTACACTCTTCGATGTTTAAAGCCGCTCCTCATAGGGCTTGTTCTCCAGACTCTTGATCATTTTAGTTGCCCTCCTCTGGACACATTCCAGCTTGTCAATATCTCTCTTGAATTGTGGTGCCCAGAATTGGACACAATATTCCAGGTGTGGTCTAACCAAAGCAGAATAGAGCAGGGAGCATGACTTCCCTAGATCTAGACACTATGCTCCTCTTGATGCAGGCCAAAATCCCATTGGCTTTTTTTGCCGCCACATCACATTCCTGGCTCATGTTTAACTTGTTGTCCACGAGGACTCCAAGATCTTTTTCACACGTCCTGCTCTCGAGCCAGGCTTTGTCCCCCATTCTGTATCTTTGCATTTCGTTTTTTCTGCCAAAGTGGAGTATCTTGCATTTGTCACTGTTGAACTTCATTTTGTTAGTTTTGGCCCATCTCTCTAATCTGTCAAGATTGTTTGACATTTGGGAGTTGTACTTGCTGGGATTTATAGTTTACGTACAATCAAGGAGCGTTCTGAACCCCACCAATGATAGAATTGGGCCAAACTTCCCACACAGAACCCCCATGACCAACAGAAAATACTGTGTTTTCTGATGGTCTTTGGCGACCTCTCTGACACCCCTTCGCGATCCCCCCAGGGGTCCCGACCCCCAGGTTGAGAAACACTGCAACTAATGGTAGTTTGTGGGATGCATGCAGTTGTGCACTGACACTCATCCACATAGATATAGTCATAATTGATACTTCTGCCATCCCGGCATGTCAAGGTCAATTCTCTCCTA